GTGGGTCCTGCCCGCAGCACAGAACAGCAGCCCCTGTCCTAACGACACGACCATCTGAAAGTCCCACTGCCATGCGGGGAGCCTTCCCCTTAGAAATAAGAGCTGTCAGGGACGGAAACCACAGTGGGGAGAGCAGCGCTCCTCCCAGCCTGGAGGGCGAACTACAAAACGGGTTGCACAAAGGCTCCTCTGGCCTGTCTTGTGGGGAGTCGGCCGTTCGGATCTCACCGCAGACTGCAGGGGTAATTTCTAGGAAGTCAAGTGGATTCTTCTCTCTAGGAAAACCATGTCCCTAGGCCCAAAAAGCTGTCTCATGTTGCTACTGATAAACCAAATTAACATCAGATCTACTACACAGATGTTTTTTTAAAGGTTTGTTGTAGAGAAAAACCTCTCTGTACTCGCCAAAGAGAGACAGAATGAGAGGGAAAGTGAGAATCACTCCCTAGGGGAAATGACCACATCGCAAACCCTTTTCCATTCTCCTCTTGGGATTTTGGGCATGCACGCATATGTGCCCAGTGTGATTGTCAAGCCTCAAGTCCAGGACTCAAACTGTGGTTGGCCCATGTGGGAGGAGTTCCGTGCCTTAGCTATCATGCCACCTGCTGGCCCCAGAATTTTTCTTAAGACTCAGAAAAAAGGGTCAGCCTCTGGCTCAATGGTTAAGGACTACATAGAGGAAGCTGGATCCCACATGGCTGACCAGGGTTTAAGTCCCTGCCCTGGCAGGGTGGGACTCAAACACACCAGGTGTGCACACCAGGATTGTGGCATGACTAGGCCCTTGGGGACATTTCTCTTCCCTCTCCCTCCTGTATAAGCCTTCAGACAAAAAAAAAAAAAAAAAAAAAAAAAAAAAAAAAACAAGAGAATGGCCAACTTAATGATAGGGCCAAGTCCAGAAAGATCAATAATAGTGTTGAATGTTAACTTCCCAGAATTTAAATGGAAAGATTGGACCACAGCAACATTGCAAATTCAATAGAAGAGAGATTAATTGCATGAGACTGAACTGGTGAAACAGAATTTTATGACTTTTGACTAAAACATTACTTATTCTCTCCTGTGCTTTGTTTTCCAGATTTAAGAATTTTTGTCTTCTCTTGAACTGTTGATAGGTTCATCTATCTACTGTTTGAATGGAATCCTAATCTTTTTCCTGGCTTTAAGTCTTAAGAAAATTTCTCTTAGGATTTTTTTTTTTCAATTTGATCTATTAAAACTAAAACTGTTTTTCTTGAAATTAAAAAATAGATTTAAAAATATCTATTTAATGACTGCAGTAAGCTATATAACTCCAGATAAGTGCTACCTTATAGTATGTTCATTCTACTCACTGAGGTTTATGCCTAAGGTCAGACATGTGTTCGTAGATAGGTATATATCAGCTGCACTTGTTATTGAAAGTATTTAGATTAATTAAGATCTTTTGTGAGTCAATAAAATGTGGGGAAAAAAGGCATGGAAAGCAACTGTAGATACCAGAGACAGTGCGGGAGGAGGGTGGGAAATGGCAGAGGGTAAGAAGTAGGGAATCAAGGAGGGGAAAAAAGAGAAGACAATATATAAGAAACAAGATATGGAAAATTAATTACCATCAGTAACACTTGTGCTAATATCCTTGCTTGAGCCAATATACAGTGTATTCTGAATGGAAAATCTCAAAACGCTCTCTTCCCCCACTGGCCCAGCCTGGTGGCCCAGGCCCCTGAAGGCCTCCCTACACCAGCTCACTCCTGTTCCCATGTCAGAGCTAGGACATGGTCCTCCGTCTTCCCTGTGTTCCCAGCCCCTAGGAGAGGAGCCTTAGAAATACTGCAGAGAAATAAAAACCTTTTCAACAAGCGGAAGCGTCGTGGGCGTTGGTTTTTGCGTAGGGAGGGTGGTGAGGGAGCCGGGACTCTGCGTGCAACACTCCCTCTCCATTGCTACCAGTTTTCACAAGAGAACCAACTGCTCATCACAAGCACAGCCTTGGTAGAAAAACACAATTGGCAAAAATGCTTAAGACTGTCTACAAAGTACTCAAGGGGAAACAGGATGAATTCCTTCGGCTTCTTTCACAGGAGCGGGATCTTCCGTACAGTGGGAGGGGGCTCTTGTCAACCCCTCCCCCTCCAGCCTTACCACACAGGCAGGGCCCACCCCGTGCAGTGAGAGGCTCTAGCCCACCCTTCCCCACCTGCGGCTGACTCTGAAACCTCTTAGAACGGAGCCAGGCAGTGCCACCTTGCTGACTGGGGGTCGGGGACCAGCTGGGAACTGGGGTCTGCATGCGGGGCCGAGGCGCTCCTTTTTATGTGGCTCACTCTGATAGCTGTTCCCCACAGCTGCTGATTCCACTGTGGGATGTGATGGAAATCACAAGATGAAAGAAGCTAACTGTATAATTCCTGTGGATACAAAATGACTTATGGGGAGCCAGGGCAGGAAACTAAAGAGAGACATTTTTTTCTTAAAACTTTCCTATAACAAAGGGAAAACAAAAACAAAAAGAAAACATGATCTACAACTTCAAATTTTTCTTACAAAAAGAAATTTAATATTAGACAAGAGGGTGAACTTGGCGCAGACAGTAGGGAGTGGAGCCACCTATTAAAATGCCAGTCTGTAAGTACCGACTTTGGACAAGATCACGCCACTGCCAGAATGCTCGGAGTCCTGGGCTGGCCATGCTGGCCTGACAGTGGTAAGCCACACGGTAAGACTGACACCCAGCAGAGAGACAGAGTCCGAGATAAGGTTGACAGTGGTTTAGCCCTTAAGGAGAAACACTGCTCTGTGAAGCCGGTAGTGTTAACACTGGCATCCAAAGAGCCAGAGGATAAGAAAAAAATGGACCTAGAATGGCCCACACAGAGGCCCTGCCCCTTTGACAACTCTCCCCGGCCAAACATTAACTCTTGGCACGGAGAGCTCCCCCGTATAATGAAAGTATTACACAGTTTTATTCTGAAGAACATTTTGCGTTTTAATATAAAAGGATTTGTGTCAGGAAAGAGTCATTTACAAACCTTGAAGTGTTTTTGCCTGGATCTGGAGTAAGAAGGTCTTAAGAAGAGGTTTGTAAGGTCTTCATAACAAAGTGTTGGTATTTACAAAAAAACGATGAACAGGTTGTCTATGTTCTATTTAAAAATTTGGAACCAAAATCGCTACCTGTCTCTTTGACCGCAAGGAATCCCTGCCAAGGTGACTTGACAAAGTTGGCATAACTGTTAACAGAAAAGGACGCCTTGAAGGTCTATAGATCCCAAAGTGGGTTTTTTCCATCGGGTCGGACGATCGGAGTGTGAGTGCATTCTAATGAAAACTCAGCCCTCATTCAGTTGCATATAAAAGCCTTCGAAGAGAACACATGGTCAGTACAGAATGTTTTGTAAAAGGCAACAATACGATTGGTACAGAGCCTGACACTAACCCTCTGGATGGCCACATTGCTCCCTCTGTCCCCACCCCCCACACCCCCTAGTTAAGACAAGCAGCACCACCTGTTCCCGGAGGACAAGGGGAGACATACTTCCTTCACCTGTGTGGTTATTTCCGTGCTGGGTATGCAAAAACGTCCTGTGTGGGCAGCTGAGAAAACCAGAACGGTGGAGGCCACAGGGACAGAGCAGCCAGCGTGATCTACTCTGTGGGGAACTTACCGAGGGTTAAGGTAAAACGAAAGACAGTTGCCACCCATGGCGAGTCAGAAGGTAGAATATCAAAATCATAGAGCTCTTGCCCAAAGAAAAGACTGCAAATAGCCACCTGGTATATCTTGTGTAAAGACAGCTTTATAGTGACTGAAAATATCGTAGAAAAATGTCTGTAGTGTCAAGTTCTTTCGAACTCAAAATTTCACCCCCCGAGAATTTTTTTTTTCACTGAATAAATGAGTGGCTCTAGTTCTTCTATTTCTGTATAGCTCGAGTAAAAATACGAGTAATTTCTAGGTTTCGGTGGGGAACTACAGTTCTTAGGACCCGTGGATATTGCTGCAGTTCAAATACGGTACAATAATTACAAAATATAGACCATCTCTTTACAAATACAAATTATAGTATATTACAAGTCATGTACAGTAAATCTATAATTTTTAAACAAACTAGCGTTATCTAGGTTTACCTGGTTGCGAGTGCGTTATTCTTCCAGTTTACAGTTGCCCTTAGTGTGACAGTCAGAAACCGACCATCCGAGTGACATGCTCTTAGGTAAACTGGCGCCACACAACAGAAAGCCTCGTCTACACGGTCTCACGCCCTCTCGTGATCTTGTGACCACCGGCAGGTGGGCTCTGACTTACGCTGTGTCTCCGAACGGCTGAACAGGAACCAGGAAACAGTGTGTCTGGGGGGACGGGGCTTAAAGAATGGATATGCTGGGCCCAGTGAGTGTCTGATTCGCTAGGCCAATGGCTGAGGTAATGACACAGGTGTGGTGATCGCCATCACCGGAAACCTTCCCCGGCCCTGCCGGCGAGCCGCGGGCACTCCAGGTACACACGGGAGGTGCACACTCCACCTCAGTGCACGGCCGGACAGCTGGGCGGGGCGGGGCTGGGCTGACCTGATCCTGCTCTCCCAGAGGGCGGGGCCTGCCGATTCCTGCAGCCCGGGCTGAGTGAGAGGGGCCCGGCCGCCCGGGAC